TAACAAAAAAGTAAAATATATTGATCATTTTAGCAGTCAATCATGATTTTTAATAATATCGTTCAAATAAATAATCAGCACCATATATGGAGTTTAAACACAAAAAATTCATATTTTACTCCAGCCAATGTATGAACCAATCAGGGGTAAGATTTTGTGACCAGACATCGTTAAAATTGCTATATAACCATCCCCTTCATGCTATAATACACATAACACTCTGTTCCTTCTATGTATTTGCTAAATCTGGTTTTCCAACAATTATTAAATCTTTACTCTCTAATGCTTTAATTTAATAATTTTTTTTTGGAGATACTTCTAACATAAAAATCCGTATTTATTACCCTAACTGAATATAAAGACTCAAATCTCTCATGGTTAAGATGTCAGTGGAAATTTAACAAATTAAGAACGATCTCTTACATAGTAGCATCGAATTTGCATTTTATGATTCAGTATATACGAATTTAATTTAGTACTAAATGTTAATATATACTATAGGCCTTCATTGGGTGTTATCATTACGGTAATTCTATTATCAACAGTGATATTGATTTTGGTATATTTTCTTTGGCATGTTCTTCAACGTCAAAGACGCAAACAAAATATCGCGCCTCAACAGGTCAAAGACAAAATCTTTTATCGCTCAAAGTGGAAAAATAATGAGCCACAAGAATGCGTCATTTGTTTAGAAGATTTTGTTGATGAAGATGAGCTAAAAATTCTTCCTTGCAAGCATGAATTTCATAGTTTGTGTCTAGAAAGGTTTATTATGCCAAGAGAAAAAATTGTAAGTAAGAGAATAATCGCATCAAGTTTTATAAGAATCATGTTTTTATTTGATTTATTATCTACATTAGTGCCCTATTTGCAAACGGGCCATTGCTGCCCCAAAAGATGAAACAACCCAATAATTGTAGCCATTTGGTTTTTTATTCTCTTTTATTAGTATTCTTCTTTTTTTTTATTTTTTTATCTTTTTATTATATTTTACTATATCTCTGTATTTATTTTTATATAGTTTTTTTTTTTACTTTTCTATAAGAAGATGTCATTTATTTAATAATATTTTATTGTAAGGTAGTGGTCAAACAAGCTTTCTAGATTTATTTATAACTATCTTAGTGTAACAAGTTACTTATACGTACAATTAGAAGTAACCGTGGATATTAGGCTTAAGTACTGCCTAGTTTAATAATTTGCTATATCAAACAAATTAATCTAAAATAAAGAATTATTGGCAAGACTGTCTAAGTAGAAAAAATGAAAATACTAGTAACAACCAACTATTGAACTTATAATAATTTATATTGATAATAAACATGAAATCTTTTTTTACAAACTAATTCTAACTACAATTTTTAGCAAAATTGTAATCTAAGCTAAAGAATTATTCTATATAGCTGATTTAGTACATATATACTAATCTTTTTTTATAATAAGATGAGGTCATGCTTCTGATTTTTATTAATATATTAAATCTATGTAAACTTTTTTTTTTTAATATTAATGGTGAGGCCATGCCTCTATCTTTATTGAATATTTAATTGAGATTTTTACATAAAGCAT